GTTGGTGTCGGTTTCTTTTAGGTTCTTTCGTGCCTCGAATCAAAAGGATGTCTTCCCACCATCCAGTCTTTTCTTCCACTCCGTAGGCTTGGATGGGAGGATCAGAGGATTTGTCTTTTTGATCAAAAGTGATCGCTACTAGGAGCAAGGACGCTACTAGGGGCTCCTGGCCTTACTGCTGGGAGCAAGAAGCTACTAGGAGCAAAGGGCATCGCTACTAGGAGCAAAGAAGCTATTAGGTTGAAGGCCATCGCTCTTAGGTTGGAGGTCATTGCTACCAGGTTGGAGACAGTTCAGATCTTGAATCTTGACAAGATTGGTCAGCAAGATCGGTCAACAAGATGTCAACAAAGTTTTGGATGACCTGTTTTTGTTTTTGTTTGCTCTTTTTTGGCAGTACCGATTGGCACTCATGCCTTGAGCGGGAGGAACTCCCAATGACGAACACGGCTGTTCCACCTGAACAACAGCAGACACCAATATATAGACTTAAATATTGTCAAATGAACTCAACTGAGCAACGTCATAAACCTCTATGAAAGAATTTAGGTAGGACTTAAGATTATGAATCTGTGCGAAAGGAAAACTGCAGTTGGGGAAAAGCTTGGCGAAAGGTTTGGAGAAAGGCTCTGATTTTTTGATGAATGGATTTTGTTGCGAAAGGGTTGGCGAGGAGGTTTTCAGTACAAAGCATGTCATCCAAAGATTCATGATAACCAGGCGAAAGGTTGGCGAAAGGTTCGCGAAGATGTGGCGAAAGCAGTGGTTGCAGATTAGGAATGATTCCCCTTTGCTGATACATGCTGATACTTTTCTTAGATGTAAGTAGCAGAAACTCGGCGAAAGGGTTAGCTAAAGAGGTTGTCGGGTGAAGTGGGCCGGCGAAAGCAAAACATGCAGCCGCGAAAGCGTTGCGAAGGGATTGGCGAAAGGTTGTTATAATCTTAATAAAAGTTCCGGATGGTTTTTGACACCGCTCAACTGGCGGTTTTCGCATGTCCGTCACGTGTCTTTTGCATGGATTTCCTAATCATATTAACATTCTATCGCCACCCCCTGAAAGTAGGTTGAAGACCTCGCATTCTCACTTGTTTATTGGCGCTCGGGTCGGTCGTGAGTGGCAGCGTTGACCTTCGGCTTCCAGGTGAAGGTCCAGATTGGCCCAAGGGACCTGACGACCACCATGGCGTGACTTGGCGATTTCTTCACGTCCGGACGGACCTTGGGACCGGACTGAACGCGCCAACGTGGCGAGAGGAAGAACTCGTGGCGAGAACGGCGAGAACTCGTCCAAAAACCTGGAAGAAAAGAGGAACTTCGTGCACACAGGTTAGTGGACGATGGAAGCTCTGGTCTGCGTCACTCTTCTGTCCCCCTCTCTGAGGACTGAGACGGTGCTTGTTTTTGTTTGATTTTAACTGGTATGGGAATTGGAATCCCAACCGGGTGGTGGTTTAAGATATGATTGTTTTCAACCTTTACTTGGGATGATTGAACCATATTGAACCTGTTGACTGATATTTCTTCAAGTGACTTGGAACCACGTAACCAGCCAAGCATAGTTGGTGTGAGGCACTACACCTACTTCTTGAACTCAATTGCGGAGAAGTCCCTGTGCTTTGGCCCTGGCATTCTACAGGCGCCACCGAAACTCTGGCATGGCGACACCACAGGGGCGGCGAAAAGCACTGGGGGTCCAGGTTGAAGGTGAAACATGAACACTTCAAGGTGATCATTTGGGGTCATACCTAGGGTCTAGGGTCATACGAGTCATAGTAGCCTCTGAACTACAAGTACACAGAATAATATACGTATCATATATAATATATATATATATTATATAATTGCCATATAATTGCCCGATTCTCGCCTTGAAGTCTTCGGACTTCACTGCCACCCGGCGGAGCTCGTGAACATCCATGAGAGCGGGACCTCGGCGTGCCTCGACCTTCGTCAGGAGCAGCAAGCCAATTCTGAGACTCGCTTCATGATCCAGGCACGCGCGACCGCGCGCGACCGCGCGGGATCACCGAGCATAGCGGCGTTTCTTTTGGTTCAGAGGATTTCAGAGCAGCATGAAAGCGCTGATGGGATCTGTAATACTATGCAATACTCACAAAGGACGCATAAGGACCATGTAAAGATCGGATGGTTTCTTTGAGGTTTCGTGATGGAAACATCTTGCAAAAGAAAGACACCATACGTCTGGGATTGGACGGGTCCTACCTCATTCGAATTGGAGGGTCTCTTCTCTCCTTCACTCTCTTGGAGGGTCTCTTCTCCCGACGGCGCCGCGACGTCTTGACTTCTCTTGACTTCCGTTGGTCGGCGAAGTGGAAGGTCGGTTCTGATCTTCATTGTTCTGGCTTCTGGTTTTTTATTCCACTGATGGAGGTCTCACTTGGTGACCAGAAAAACAGGAGGGTGCGTCAGAAAAGGCATGGCATGTCACAGCCCCGGTAATGGGAGAACGATCTCTCCAGAGGTGCCAGGGACAGTACGACATTTGAATACATGTTTTTGTTTGGCATTTATACATATTTATACTGTATAGTATACTTTATATATATATATACATATTTACACTGCAAATAGTACATTAAGTAATTACTGTCTAGAGTCTAAAGGTGGCAAACAGCTAGATGATTGAATCAGCTAGCAGACCACAAGTTGTTCAGAGTCAACAGTATACAACCTGTAATCTTTGCACTCATTCAGTGGGATTCTGGGATGAACATTTGTTGGGGAATCGGCGAGAACAGAAAGCCACGCAGGCGAGGAATCAGCTGGGCGAGAACCGCAAGAGCGGCCGGGATGAGTTCATGGTCACGGCAGCGTGGTCACGGAAGCAGCGGATTGGGTGGATGTGCAATGGCTGTTTGCTACGTGTGTATTACCCTTTGTGAGTGTTTCGCTGGAAACAACGACCTCCGATTAATTAATCAGCAAGAATGGAACCTCAGGAGCTCCGGACGAGCAGCATCTCCTCCTTCACCTGTGTGCAGGGAACTTCTTTCCTCATATTTAGTCCATGCACCCGGTCTGTCACCATTGTTTCATGTCTTAATCTCCTATGATCTCAAAGCTACTCATAGCCATCTCATAGCCTATAGCTCATTGCTCAACTTCCCAGCTTCTTGGTTGATCCCCTCATAGCCAACTAAAGTGTCTGAAGGGAATCACTTCGGTAGCGCGAGCTTCCAAGAATCAGACCAGCTTGACTGGCTTTGACTCCATGTTCTTTGAAGACCTTTTTCTTCACCGAAACCAACGACTTCGACCGATTCGCCGACCTTATCCCGACGCAGCTATCGGTGCCATGGTTGCGGGAAAGACCCAGGTGCAGCAAAAGGTGCTCAATGCCGAAGGCCTGCAGATCGATCGCCGAAGCATGAGAGCTTGGGGTGTTCTATGATGTTTTATGCACTTTCATGTGTGAAAAAAAGCGTCAAACCACAGATACTACAACAACAAATGCCCTCCTCTCCTCGATGTTGGGTGTAGAAGATTCACGCTACCCATGCATGACTTAGGTGTTTGGCTTTCATGGATGCTGATCCACGACGCAACCATTGCAGATTGGGACCCCCTTCTGAAGAACAGAACCATGAAAGTCCATGTTACATGCGTGCACATATGCACACATGTGCATGTGTGTTCTTCTTTTTGTATGATGTGTTAATGTTTCTTTTTCCCCAAGTGTTTGTCAGTCACGTTCCTATGTTCCATATAGTTATATGTAAATATATATATATAGTCATGTGTTTTATCTTGGTTTCATGAAGCGAAGAGACCTCCGCAAGGCAAGGAAGTGCTCCGGGACGTGGCTTTCGAGCTGAACGACCTCAACGACGGCAAGACCGAGGCGGCGGAGGAAAAAACGGTCAAGAGGTCAAACAGGTGCTGAGTAGGTGCTAAGTAGAGGGAGTGATTGATCACATGAAAGGCCACGTTCGGAATCCTGTACGGATCCATGTGTTTCTTTTGGTTCCGCCCTTACTAGAGCGCCATTCGGACATCAAGGACATTGGAGAAACCTGGATGAATTGAATAGAGCTGGGGGGGAGGTTCTCGGAGGGGTTCCTTGGAGGGGTTCGTCGGTCTCAGCTGGATGGCAGTGAGTGGGTCATAGAACCAGGTCTTTGGAAAAAAGAGAACGGCCGTGGGGTGGTCCCTTTGTTGCCTTTTCTTTGGTAAAGGAGACAGGCGATTCCAGGGTGTGATTCCAGGGTGATCTTCATTGTTCGCTTCTGCTTGTTTGGTGTTTTTCATTCGCTGCTGGGTGACTTTGTGGATGGCTGGATCAATTGATGTCACCCATTAGCTCCGGTCGTCTAGTCCAATAACCCCATAGCCCGAAGTGCCAGCACAGCCCGAACCGCTGGGATGCGCTGGGGCTGCTAGGTCAAGTATATGGCTGATGAAGGAGAGTATCTTGGCGACACCTGATGCCCGAGATAAGATGATTGAAACTGCCTGTGGTTGCAGCAGTTTGAGTAGATGGGACGTGATCGCCGCAATCTTCAAGAGCTGAGATTGAAGACAGCCAGAGAGCTAGACTAGGTCGACTCTGAGATGGTGGATATACACATGAAGGGGGAAGAGCCACATGAGGTAACTCGAGTATCACTCGCGTCGACTTGCAGTATTCATCAACTTCTTTTTCATCAACTCTAGCTTCACCCTGCTGCCTCAGCTGTTGGGACTGTCCCCAACTCCGAAAAAAGAACAAAAAAAAAACATAGAACAATACGCCACTCCATGAATCAAGAACACATGTCTCCTCCCCACTTTCTTCCCCAGTACTTTTCCCGCCCCAGGGGCCCCAATGTCCCCACACGTCCCACCCCATACTACCCACCTCCACCTCACAGCTTTTTCGGCCACCCTGGGCGCCCAGAGGGCGCCTTGGGCGTGCGCCCCCTTTCGGCTCGCTTCGACACCGCGCGGGCGCGGTTGACCACCGCGCCCACCTCAGGCTGGTGATTCACGTGAAGCTCATGGACGAGAACGGCAAGCCACGCCCCATTCGAGGATCACCCTTCCGGCCAACCCTGACCAAGCTGCTGGGCTGAGGAAGGTGTTGAGGTCAGTTGCATCCAATGGAGGAAGGTGTTGTTGAAATGTCTTGGTTGGCGCAGATTCGGGTAGATGTGTGTTTTCTTCTTGGAGCACCAAGAAGAAGCATTTGTTTTAAAACAAGGCGTTTGAATTTGAATTGGATGTGAAGATCAAAGCAATTGAAGTGGAAGAGAGAAGGCCTCCAAGTGGGTTCACAGGGACAGATTCACGATGAATTTGCTGCATGGTGTGCGCAGAAATATCGTTTACTGTACATTCCCGAGAGAGATGTTGTTGGGTGGCGCAGATCCTTGTGATCCTCAACATGGCCTTGTTTGGATCCTCATGTTCCAAGAAAGGTGAGTCAAGAATCCCAGAGGCAACGTCCAGTGCGTCACACCATGTCACAGCCAGCTCGAAGAGGATCCTTTTTCTGCTGTACGTTGACCGGGGAGGCAAGATTTACCCTTCGTAATTAACACAGACATGTCAGACATTGAAAATGGTCCCGCAAGAGGGTAGTGGTCTTGAGATGTCTTGAGAAGGTCTTATTTATTGTTCCGTGTCTATGTGCAGGCCACTAGTATCCTCATTTCTGGCGAATCAAACGTCCGCAACCCTCTCCCAGAGGCGGCACGTTTCGATTCCAATCGATGGATTGTACTACCGAGGATGGCCCGGAATCGCGCCAACGAGTACTCAGGCGGTTTCTTGTGGATCTTGTGGGGACCCAGTGACTGATATGGCTATTACCGGTCGCCAGCTGCAAGGGAACACCGTGATTTTGTGGCAGGTAGTGAGAATCAGAATGTGGAGATTGTGGTGAGAATGTGCATAGAACATATATCTTGTATGTTTTGTTGCACAAAGAAGCATCAAACAGATGAAACAAGATGCCATCCTATGGCAATGTATTCATTTTGGTGGGTTAAAGAAACTTACACTCCCGGCATATCTGGACACAAAAACGTGTCAAATGTGACCAGTCCCTTTTGTCCGAACGTGAGCCATGTGTACCACCGCTTCCTTGGCAGGGCCGGTGGTGACTGCTTGGCTGGGCTCCACTTTGAAGAGTCTGGACGAGCCCCTTGGACGGAGCGATCGGACGCGACAAACCGGGCGGCTCCAACGGTGTCCGCAGGGCATTCACGGTGTCCGTTGTTGGGTTCCGACGCGTGGTTCATGGTCCAGTCGAGCCGTTTTTCCTTTTTTTTTTCAGTGATCCGACGTTCCCGAGAGTACGGGTAGCACAACAAGTGTTGTGTATTTTTTTAGAGCACAGCAAGGCTTCCATGAAGCAAGATCTCTGATGCTTGCAGTGATGTTCAAGCATGGTTTGACCCGCCCAAACCATCTCGCAACTCTTTTCACCTGAGAAGTCAGGAAAAAATGGAGCCCTGGATCATCATAGATCATCACTTGGATGGCCCCTTTGAAACGGACCATGAAATTCGAAAACCAAACATGTGAGTGTCCACTTCCATGAGTGTACCCCCTTCCACGTCCAGCGGCTGCAGGTTCTACCAGACGACCAACACGGGGCATCAAACCAAGCTGAAGGAAGGGGATGTGTCTTGGCTGTGAGGGCATTGAGGTCTTTATGAGGCCTAGCCGCCTAGCCTTCATCTTTCCTGGGTCAAAGTGATTTGGGATGACTTTTGCATGACACCTAAACTCATCAGAGTCGCGTAGTGCTGAATTGAGAAGCTGGTAAAACATTACAGTAACATACAGTAACATATTTCAAGATGCCACACACTAGTCTTGATATGTTTATCTCCTGGTGGACATGCTTGTTTAATTGCTTATACTTACATTCATCATCGTGTTTGGCTGTCGTCATCCTCATGCTTTGGCCACTCGCGTCGGTCGTCCCAGTCTCTCCCGGAGTCCCCGACCGCGGTTCGGCGTCGATGGTGGCGAGAACGCAGGCCTCGGGTCGAAGCCCAGACATACCCAGACCCAACACTCCATGGGACTGGCATATTTTTGTATACATTGAGCCTGGGTGGTTGAAGTCAGGACCAATGTAAGCATTTTCTCCTACGTATTTGCATGTATTTGGACATGTATTTACATTACATGGAGTGTTTGGGATAGGTTCCGGGTCGAGTCAGGTGAGTGACGTATTCTTCTCGCCGAGTCTTTGTGGGATCACCAGGTAGACGTGGACTCAAACCATGCACTCAAACCATGCACTCGTCATCCAATGGGATCGTCCACGAGGGTTTTGAGGGTTCCGAGGGGCGAACCCTGATCGATTCCCAGGACCAGGAGGCCCCCAGGTCGGTCTTTCCCTCTCGCACCCAGTCGTACCCGTGGTTTTTCTCGTCACCCAGTCGTACCCGTAGCTCGATCCAAGGTCATGAACTTGATCAAAGTCATGAACCACATCAAGGAGCTGCGATGTGGATCATCACCAGCATCGCCATGTGTGCGAAAATGTGTGTACGGCCTCGGCATACTGTGGCATAGCCACAAAACGCGCAGGACATGTACGACCAGGAGGACACACTGATCCTGAGACAGGCCTGTCGGGGCTGCATGCTGCTTTGCTATGCAAGTTGATATGCAAGTTGCTATCGCTTGGTAGAAGAGTCAGGGCTCAACAAGCCGATGTTCTGTTAGACCTGACCTGGGTTTGTTCTTCATGTTTGTTCATGTAGCAGCTCATACTTGTCAATCTCCTTGGAGTGGCATGAAGCCAGCGAGCGAAGTGCCAACTTTGCTTCAATCCAGCTACACTCCCGAAAACTAACACCCTGACAATGGTCCCATGGAAGACTATCTTCCTCTACCAACCAGGGGTTGTCGAGTTCCATGGGATCGTCTTCCAGGGTGCAAGCATTGTTTTGGATCGGGAAAGACCGGGGCACTCGAAGACTGTCTAACCCAAAGTCTCCAGGTGAGACGATGTGTTCAGGACACACTCTCAAGATATACCCAGCTGTGCAAACAGTGGGTGGTACTGGCGGTGGGTGGAGCATGGTGGCTTTTGGTGGCACATGATTTTGCTCATGTAATCGAATTTGGATGTGGATTCACTTCCCATTTCCTCACCACCTGCCACCCATCCGACACTTCAAGTGTCCAAGCGCCAGCCCCCCCTCTCAACCGTCGTCGCAGCGGTCGAGCGTTTGGCTTGCTTCGCGATGCTTCAGGATGAGGTTGTAGAGACCTTGGCCCAGTTGGAGCGCGAAGGTTTGCCCAGCGACAAGCAGCTCAAACAGCTCAAGAAGATCGGCTGCTTGACCGCCCAAGAAGATTCCATGGCTATACACATAATTAAATTGTGCATTAAATGATTGTTGTTTTGGACGTGCAAAATCCATATCCGTCAATCTCCTTTTTGTATATTAGACCAGAACAAAGCGGCTTTTGTTTGTAAGGATTGTTTTGCTGCTCCATTTTCGACGTGTCCTTTTTCAGCACATCACTGGAAATCACTAGAGAACTATGGGTCAATGGAGTCTTCACATCCAGGTGGAAGAAAAGGCCTCGCAGGGGGACCACCCTTCGAACGCCAACAGTTCGGATCCCAACGCTTCGAATGCTTCGACGTCCGTCTCTCCGTGAAAGCAGTCGATGCACGGCCCGCCGGGGCCAAAGGGGATCCCAAACACCCCGCAGGGTTTGGGGGTTTGACCTGGCGTCAGAAAACACTGCGGACTGTGGACTGTACAACGAGCTAAGAACATCTGGGTTTGTCCCATTACCTGTAACAGTCGGTTGATTATCATGAATGATCACCATTTTAAGAGAAAGGCCTTTACCAAGCGTCGTCATCCACGAAAGGGCCCTGGAGGATATGGAATGACGACGTATTGGCATCGACTCAGAGCACGGTGGAGGGTCCACACCACACAGTCCGCCATCAGCAAGGTGCTAACTTGGTGCAGCTGAAACAGGACATTGTGGCCAAGGAAAAGGAGATCCAGCCCATGGTTCAGAAGGACCCGCGCGGAACGCCAGCGATGAGTGTTCTGGGATCCTGCTTTTTGCTCCGAGTGATATTCATGGAAAAGAGTGTGACAAAAGTGAATGGAAATGACTAGCCAGCACCCAGATGATGTGGTTTGTGGGTAGCCGAACATGTTTTGCTTGGGGCTTAGTACTTCTAGGCAACCCATGGAACTGAATCTTTACCTGCATTGGGGATGGATCTGAATGCGGGTTCATTGCATCATACACTGAATCTGAGGGTACCAATCAAGTACTCCCAATGTTGGAATCTTAGACTCCAGCAGGCATTGCCTGGTTGGGATAGGAATCCCAGGGTTGAACGCAGCCGTGCCACTGATTGGTCAACGTGGCTTGAGGGCCCAGCTCAGCCCTCACTGACCCCCGGTACTTCGATCTTTGACTCAAGGAGAGCGAATTCTACAAGAAGGCCGGAGCTGGACGTGGGTGTGGGATCAGGTGATTCGTTGAGAAGTACGGCACGGTACAAGCATGTACAAGCGAACAAAAACGGGAACACGCTTTTTTTCTATTGCGTTGGGGATTTGTAGTCCATTCTTTGTCCATTCCTTTCATTTCCTTAGTAGTGGCCATCTCGCTTTCACTGATCCACATTTCTCAAATTCCCCAAACGATTTAGTATGTTTACTCTATGTTTTAGTTATATATAGTATGGGATTTAGTGATTGCTATTCAGTTTCATGTGGGACAACTCATACTCTGAGAGTCTACTGTAGCCTTTGTTGATGCTCCACGACACGGGGAAACACGGCGAAAGTAGAGGTCCAACCATGTCGTGTGCTGGCCGTGCCATGTCAGGCCATTGGGGACTTTGAAAATGAGCTCAAGACCTACCAGGGTGGTCTGAAGAAAGAGGCCTACTACTTCTACAAGAGACCCTTGGACTATCTTGGACTTCTTATCTTCGGAATTGGAAGCTGTTTTGTGTGCCAGTGTTTTTGGATTGCAATGTTTTGTTGAACTGTTCCATGTTTGGTTTGGTGTATTTGCGTATATTTGGGTTGAATGGGGGATGATCACTTAGTTCAATACTTGACCGACGAGTAAAATGGACCAGAACAATACTTATATACCAGCAGCTGGAAAGGAGCAGGCAAAAGCAACCTGAAGCGGTTCTTCACAACAATGGGGGATCAAGGTAGAGTCACTTTCTTACTCTATCAATTTTGAGCTTGAAGTTGGACAGAGACACATCAAGTTTAATCAATGAGCTACGTGTTGGCACAACATGCTACAACCAACTCAATAGTATCACAACCTGTTCTCCTTCATGTTCTTTCCAAGATCCGGTGCCTCATATCCTGTGCCCGTGCCTCGCTTCGCTCCAAGGTGGCTTGGAGTTGGCTCAGAAGCGGCTCTCCGATGTCACCACCGATCTGGACAACTTCGACAAACGCATGGACGACCTGCTGCACATTGCCACCAACTTTAACTACCCCGAGGAGTTCAAGGGGCGGAAACCGTCAGATGCAGATCTCCCAAATAAAACGGGGCGGACACTGGGCACACAGCAGGGTGGTGCAGGTTGGGGGTGATCAGATTGATGAGGTGCAAGTTGCTCTTTTGCATTCTGCGCGAAACTTGAGGCCCCGAATCCTGTTATTTTTTGGTGCAACTCTAACACTCTAACCATGTCCTGTTTGGTTACACCGCGGGACACCGCAGTATTGTCACCTGCACAAGTAGTGAATTGACCGCGAATGTCTTTGTGCTTTGGTCAAGCTTTTGGTAATGACTGTGGTTTCACTGGTTGGAGTTGTCAAGACATTCGATTCTGAACCACCTCAGAATTGCTAGCAACCTGATGCTAAAACCATCTAGGCTACAATGTGAGAGCTGTAACTTGAGACTTCATTATCAGCAAAATTTGAATGTCGCCAAAGCTGATGTGTCAAGTGGCATTTTCCCCCAGTGACGTTTGACATGTTTTTCCCTTCAGTGCCCTCGTAGCAAGCTCAAGGGCTCATAGGATAGGACAATTGCCGAATAGCTTCATGATCACCGCGGCCAGCGGTGCTTCACGTGGTTTTACCACTTGTGGCCCACGCCGCACAAAGTCGGGTTTTGGCAGGGTGCCACGTGGCACCTGCTGCAAAAATAGACACCACCTATCAACCAACGAGTGATGGATGAATCGCTTGGTTGATTTGTTGCTTGATTGGTTGATCTCATTTCTTCAGCAGTATGCTGATGAAACTGGAACAGTTCAAAAAACAAAGTACATTATATAACTATTGGATAGTATTGTTATTGGGATAGGAATGGATTGGATCCCTATTTTTTCCACATTCCAGTTTGTTCACTGGAATATGTTTCAATGGAGCTGGCCCGGACCGGAAGGAGTTGAACAACTCCAAGAAGATCATGCAGGCCATGCGCGAAGATGTGGCCAACTGCAGCTTGGCTTTCCAGCAGATCTGCGTCCACTCCTTAACACTGTGGAAGGAAAGGACAGGAAAGCATGAAGGAGTGGAAGCATGAAGGCTGTTGTTGTTATATTACTGTATGTTACATTGTTATTGCTGTTTTGTTAGTTACTGTCTTTGGGCTTTCTCTTTATTGTTTTTGGGTCTTGGCCTTGGTTTCAGGGTGGTGTTGCTGGAAGGTGGACAGTGAACTCTGAGAGTTCCCTTAAGCACAGTTCCCTTAAGCACTTGGGTTTGTAGCAGTGATTTTGGATTGACCCGACAGTGATTTTCGAAAAGCCGTACATGGGAAGCGTGTTCGGCAGGTGATTCCGGGTGAATGGCTAGGCCCAAACAAGTGGACATGTGATTTGCCTTTGCCAAAGATTTGGAGCTTTTGTCTATCCAATTCGTCCATTGGGAGTCCAAGGCCTGACAGGATGTCATATAGATGGTAAACAGTCGTGTACAGTGTAACACTTGACCGTGGTTTGATAGAGGTGTGATGTCTTTGATTCTAACGGGCTCACAAGCAGTTGGTGATTGATGTCTCTTTTGACTTGGGATTTATATGGATTGATCTTCTCTTTGTTTGAAAAAGGAAACAGCATGTAACACAATGTAACATGTCCAATGTGTTAAAGGAAACAGCATGTAACACAATGTAACATGTCCAATGTGTTGTGTTTTTGCTGTTTTTCCTGACCTTTCATCCGCATGCCCGGGCAACTCTCCAGCCTTCCGACCAATGAGTCGGCACGATCTCAGGCAAGGGTCTTTGGGAGTTTGAAGTGCAGCGCATCAAGATCACAGAAGGTTTCCTGGTGGTCCGTTGGGGCCAAGTGCCTGGGACAGCATTTGTTTTGAGGGCCAGTGAGGACGGCTGAGTTTTCACCCCGGACATTTGTTTTTGGTGTGCAGGGAGATGCTGTTGGTGAGCTAGAACTGTATGTCAACGGCTTATTGTGAAGCTGTAGCATGCTGTAGCCAGGTGACGAGAGTCCCCGGGACTCAGTAACTAGGCCCTGCAAAGTCAACATGGAACCTGAAAAGCCCCTGGTTTGTGATGTATTGTGGAGGAATTCCGGAAGCTAGTCTTCCAACATCTTTCAAAAGTCCATTTTAAGGTTCCATGTGCATCTCTTCCTGGATGCAGTCTACCTACCTACCTACCTACCTACCTCGGGAAAAAGGACACTTGACTCATTCATTGATGCGATGGCCGTAACTTGACGACAGATGTGCAGCTGACTCCTGAGCTTGAACTCCTTTTTAGCAGCTCCTAACTAACCACAGGGTCTTGCTCTTACCAGACATAAGAAGGTGATGGACCAACATAGAATCCATGTGAGTCCTTACAACTCTTTGTGAAACACTCAATACATCTCAATACAGTAAACTATAGTAAACTTTAAAGACATTTTGAAACACTTGTCTCCACTTGTCTATAAGTGGCTTTTTGTAACTTGTATATAAATCTTGGGCCAAACCTCTTCCACGACCTCGACCCCAGGTGGTCGCTGGAGACATGGAGGTCGGACGGGTCGTGTGAATATGGAGGTCAGACGGGTCGTGTATGCGTTCACTTTGGCCCAAAGTTTGATTTTCCTAAATGTGGGCTGTTCATGCATAAAACACCTCCCTACCAGAATGTTTTTTTTTTTTTTCCATGTCCATACGGGGGCTTCTGTTAGTCAACACGTTTTCCGGGTGCAGATCTCTTAAGAGGAAACGCTTTTCATGAGCAGTGATAGTCGTTGACTCCACACTCATGTGTGTTCAAGCCAGTTGCCGAGGTTCACTTTGGGGATCAACATAAATACAAACAAACCGCACAACACAAACACAGCATTTATGCGATTTATTTACAACATAGTGCGTGTGTTGGTGTGATCAGGGAGGAGCGGGTTTTTGTAGAGAATCTTTTCTCCCACGGAGTCCACCACGGACATGTTTTGTTGACAGACTCTGACTCAATCGACATCTTTTGACTGTAGCGTTTGGGGAGTCGTTTGGGGTTTTCCTTGAGCTTTGTACTTGCGAAGATGATGGTTATTGATGAAGTACCTTGTTTTGCGGATCAGGTGACAAGTTTTGTTCTTTTGCCGGTTCCTGGGTGAAGCCCAGTTTTTTTGGGAAGATGTAAGATGTTCTATTCTTTCCCGGCATCCTGGAGATCAAATCCACGCTTATTGATGAAGTAGGGGCCCTTGTTTCGTGGCGACTGAAAAGACGTCCGTCCCCCATGGAGAGAATCCTCCGGTCTGCATGCGTCCGCATGAGCAACAGCTGGTTTGTACGAACTCGCTCCACCTGGACAGAATCTTACTTATTTAACGAACCATCTATAGTATATAACAACAATTAAGTACATCATATCACTACTATTATATAACCATCTCATCTCAGTCCTTGAACATTTGCGACCATCTAACTACTCCACTTAATGGCAGACCTGCAGGATGAGATCAAGGCGCTCTTCAAAAAGCTCAAAGAGGTGAAGGTGGACCGCAAGTGCGATGCTTTCGTTGGAGTTCAGGAGGGTCCGACGAGCGGATTCACGCGAGCGCTGATTGCGCTGTTGGGTGTTGCCATGTTGTTGTAAATTCCGAGTGAAAAAGGATGCATCACACATCCCCCAAGCCCTCCAAACTTGCAGACTCAGTTTCTGGACCCATCGATGCTATCATCCTGCTATTGCTTGATCGACTAGGAGCTCACTCAGTTATTGATTTGGGATAGGTATAGATAGATCAAACAGTCAAACTTTAGACTTTAGACATCTATAGACCCCTATTCTCACCATGGCCAGTATGTTGAAACAATTTTCACATATGGTTCACCATTTTTACTGCGCATATGTTAGACCACGCCCGTGTGAGACCGCGATGGTGAAGACTGGCAAGCGTGCGTGAGATGAGAAAATCACAGTGTCGCGCCAATCCGATCGGTCCATCGAGTCGTCTCAGTCCATCGAAGTGGCCGACAACTGGTGGTTCGTGGGTGTGAGTTGATTTGGGGGGTGCCATGATGTGCTCAGCCACCGGTTTCTGACGCACACTTTTGGCTCCAGAGAACTGATTTATTTCGGGTGCCATGATGTGCTCACACCGGTTGGTTTGAGGTGGCCAGAATCTGGAAATTGGACCAGAACGACCCAGACAAAAATCCCACAAACCAATATCCCATCCCATCAATTCCGATCATCCTCCCCCCGCAGGACGTCGTCAAGAAGTGGACGGTCTTCTGCCCGTTGGTCGGCGAGCTGCGCGATCCGGCCATGCGCCAGCGCCACTGGGCGCAGCTGATGGATCAGCAACTTGGTCGATGGATCAGCTGAAAGTGAGAGAGAGAGAGGTTTTTCACAGCTCTATAGCCCATGTACCACTACAGGGTCCTAGTACAGCTATATGAACCCATCCCATACAACCTCTTTTGATCATGAGAAGACCAGCTGATCATGTGAAGACTGAGAAGAACGTGAGAAGATGAGCTGGACATAGCTTAGCTGGACACCATCTCACACAGGTGCACCATGATGCATCAATTAGTCTAACAGCAGCTAAGTGAGCAGCTTCACTTCATGCAGTTGACGAATTGGGTGTCTTGATCCACGATGTTCCCTCTTTCGTACGCAGGCGTCAGGCGTTCTGTTTGTCCCATCACCACTCACAAATCTTACCCAAGCCTGGCACCTGAACAAGAGCCCTCATTGCAGAGCAGCAGTTGGGGCTGTTATGCAAACGACCATCTCAAATCTCAACATGTCCCACCCAACCGTCCAAAACATTCCAAAACCATCCAAAACCACCCAAGGCTAGAAGCGACCCTAATCAGAATCCCAAAACTCAACCTGGTTTTGCTGAGGGTGATTAGTATTTGCTCTCTTGGGTGAATCCCAATATACACAAAAACATTAATATGCACTTTCTGTTGATCATTGCTTGCTTGCTGGACAGCAAATTCAAGCCAACCAACCTGAGCATGCTCCATCTCACCCTTTCAATCAGGTGCGGCAAGTCGATCACGGTAACCCCAGACACTTGGGTAGTGCAGCGAGCGCCGAAGCGACGGAAGTGGGACGAAAGCAAGGAATAAGGATGACTGTTCGTTCTTCATGTCGGCTCTTGATCATATTTCGATGGCGCCTCTTCAGAGGCTTTGCAATCCTAATCCCAAATGCAACAATTTGAAGGAATTTCTATTGCGAGGTCCTTCCCTCATTCCTTACGTTCGCACCGTCGACCGATGTTCACCGCCCGCGGCTTCTTCGGGCCGCGCGGCCGGTGGAGAACTCCACCCGGCCACAACGGTCAAGCCCAAGGGTTTGCGTTCGCAAACTCTTGGGGTCTTTTCAATGTCAGCATCACCAAAGACCAAACATTTGCTGTCTATCCAGTAACAAACAAAATGACACAGAAATGAACACAAGGCAAAACATGAGGTGTCATGCAGAAATGCGACTGCTTACACGTTCTGTTACTGTTACCGTCATTGTTTCGCAGTCCAGACAGACACAAAAGAAGTGAGCGGATTGCACATGATTGCACATACGCCTCAGGACATTCTGCTGCGGGATATGTGGAACTTGGAGCTGCACAAGAACCCCGACTTCGTGGAGGATACCGCCGACCAGGCCAAGCAAGAAATGAAGATGGAGAACACTCTGAAAAAGTTGCAGAAGGACCGCCATCGACTGCGCTGCAAGATTGGCTTGAAATCAAAAAACACCAAAAATGAACACAGTGGGTTTCCAACCAAAGCCCACCAATTGTGGAAAGTGAGCGCCTGTGCATATCATACTATGAGCCTGGGTGTGGTTGGAATGCGTATTTGGCAGCTTTGGAGAGCAGAAGCTTTATGTAAGCAGCTATGCTCATGACCTGGGTTCAACCAGGGTTGTTTCCCATTGGTGTAGACCTGGGTCGACATCACTCTTGGTGTGTGACCCACCCCTATGCCATTTATATATTATTGCGACTGAGGTCGTGTTGTGTAAGTCATTGTTCATGTGTTGTTGAAAGGGAATCCCATCAACAGGCCTGCGTCCTTGTGTTTCATCCGTTGCCCCCTCGAGCCCCCTTCATTCCCCCCTTGTGTTGTCCCCTCGAGCCCCCTTCATTCCCTCCTTGTGTTTCATCCATTGCCCCCTCGAGCCCGCTTCATTCCCCCCTTGTGTTTCATCCATTGCCCCCTCGAGCCCCCTTCATTCCCCGCTTGTGTTTCTTCCCTTTTTGTGTTTCATCCATTGCCCCCTCAAGCCCCGTTCATTCCCCCCTCCAGCCCCGTTTATTCCCCCTGTTTCATCCTTTGCTCCCTCAAGCCCCATTCATTCTCCCCTTGTGCTTCATCCATTGCCCCCTCGAGCCCCCTTCACTCCCCCCTTGTGTTTCATGCATTGCCCCTCGAGCCCCCTTCATTCCCCCCTTGTGTTTCATCCATT